ATACCCGACTTCTCCTCTTTTCGATGGGAGTAAATCAATTCAAAAGTTCTTTGAAAGATAAAAAACAAATATAAATCTTTACATTACTAAGATATGATTAAATTTTGTTCAAAGTGCTTTAAGTTTCTCCTTGGTAAAATATACTGATATAGACTCTTAACACACTTTGATTTAAAAAAATCAAAGTGCGTTGAGTTGGTCCCACATTAAACGCACTTTGATTTTTTTTTCAAAGTGCGTTGATTTTGTCCCAATTTTAACGCACTAAGAAAATTTTTTTTTCAAAGTGCTAATTTTTTCAAAGTGCGTTGCCACAATACATATTTACATAGAAATAAGCCAAAGAATATATTCAAAATAAAATGTACTCCAAAACTTCAAAATTTGACTTTAAAAAAATATATAATATTATCAGGCTTTAATTTAAAATAAAATGAACTCAGATTATTAAATTCAGAGTATTTAATTAAATGCGTCTGCATTACGAAAAAAAGAAGAAGAAAAGATTAATGGTGTTAAAATATGATAACAGATGGTATGATCTATAAAGGGACTTTTATTTATTAGTAACGTTTCATTTCTTCATCTGGTTCAGTCAATTCAATACTTTCATCTGTGGGAGAAAAGAGATTAGGTAGAAGTACAGTGCAGCACATTAGATCCCGTACTTGGTTTCAGCAAATAAATCACCTATTTTCAATGCTGATTTTGTGATAGATACGTATATCCAACTAAAACACTAAAATCTAATATTAACGGCTTACAATTAACGTTTCTTTACAATACAATTCAATAAAGACCACAGCATATGTTTGTTTTAGATCGTCATCGACTTTAATGAAGAAACTGCACATGAACTAGAATATCCTAGGCAAACATGGACTATGATCAATAGAGGATTTCTGTATTGTGTGATTTGATATTGGCTATGTAGGAAGGATATTGAGATAACGAACAAAATTCAATCTCAAAGTCCACAAAACAATACAAAATAGAAGCATAGCAAACACGGACCCCAAAAACATCAGAGGTGGGATCAGGTGCCATTGAGGAGTGAGCATCCCCTGCCGTCACACCCGCTGTGTGCTCCATCAGGAAAAATAACAGACAAATCCAACGGCAATTTAGTGTATCAATAATGGACTTAGAATTGGTATGAAAAACGTCAGTCAGCATTTGACTCAATGATAAATTGTATCTGCTGACAAGGTCATTGTATCGACTATAGTACCTACGAAATGATGACTCTAAACGAGACCGCATATATTCTTCTTTCATCAACGTTAACTTGTTTGTCAATAATTTACCTCATTTTAGAAATTCTTTATACGTAGAGCATGCTCTTGCGTATCGAATCAACAGAGATATACATACCCCGAATACAGGCAATGAATGTATATTGCTGCATAAGTAAGGGAAGTTGACGATAGAAAAGATAAAGTCATCATGTTTATTATAAAACTTAGTTGTTAGATTACCAAGATTACCATTAGCGTCATTTCAAGTAAAATATCCAAGTTTGATTTATTGATTTTATATTGTTTTACGTCCCTCTCGAGAATTTTTCACTCATATGGAGACGCCACCACTTGCCGGTGGAGGGCTACAAATTTTGTCCTATGCTCGGCACTTAGGGCCTTTGAGCAGTGAGGGATTTTTTTCGTGCCAGCACCTACTGCGACACGGGGCCTCGGTTTATACGGTCTCATCCGAAGGACCGGTCTCCACGTCCCGCAGTGGGATTCGAACCCGCGACGTAAGGATTGACTCCTTACTTCGCGACTCTAGAGCAGACGCTCTAACCACTGCGCCACGCGGGCGACTCCAAGTTTGAAACAGAAGTGTCAGACTGTTTATCTCAAGCTCACCAGGGTGTATCGTATCGACAAAGGAATGGATATTACCATTGTTGATTGACAATAGGTCATCGATATATCTTAATGTCGAGTCAAAGGCCACAGCAAGTGATTTCTTTTTTTTTCGCATAAGATTTTGTATAAGTTCTGCTTTCTATGAGAATAAAAATAATGACGAAACACAATTTTTACCAATGGGAATTCCAATAGATTGTTAGAATACTTGGTCTCCAAGAACAACATAGATATTGTCAATCAGAAACTCGAAGCATCTTCTTGATGTCAACTTCAGAGTACTTATGTGCGCTATCACAATCTGTTTTAACAAAATATTTTTGCAAATGACAAATGACGAGGTAAGTAAAGAGGTAAAGCCACGAACCATCATATTTAGCCCTGTGTTTTTCACAAATTCGAGTTTCTATTTATGGCCAGTATTATACGTTAATCATTAGAGGACAACATACTTTTTTCCTTACGTAACTCATTTTGTTAAATAACGCGCTGTTAGGCACGTGCGATGGTTTGAAGATGCGACAGTTTCATAAAAACTTTCAAAAATGCCGACAGATTTTCGCAAAATTAAGTGTGGCAACAGATACTTACCATATGTATAAATATTGCTGATACGAATCTACATGCTTAATATCATCGTTGTTCACACGTGTGACCAATATGAAATATGACTTTACATTTAAATTTTGATGTCGCAAAGATTCACCAGTTTTGTTAAACATTTAAAAACTCTTTCAAATAAGTATTTTTTTTTCAAGATGAATCACTAAGACTTTACTCGATATCATCAAATTATTAACAGAGGTCTATTTCTATTATCTCCAATTTCACCCCCTTTCAATCGCCTGTTTTCGTTTTAAATCTGTACACTATCTTCGTTTTAAATAATTTAACTATAGCTAGGATACTACAATTATTCTAAAGACAAATCTTAATGCTGCTTTACATGATTACAAGATTACTAGCTTGTAAATACTTAAGTGAAACAGACTCGGATCTAGATTTTTTCTCAGAAGGGGGACTGAAGAGGAATAGAGTTGTTATAACGTACGCTTACAGAAAGATAAAAAGATCCAGGGATGTAGTATCGTTTTAAAAGTGGGACAGTCATCAGACTGGGAAAAAATTATGAACTTAGTACCTGAAAGTTTTTGACAAAGGCAAGAGAATAAATCTAAAATCTCCGAACCCGTAAATCCAATTTTGTTTTCACAATCGAATTCCTACATTTGTTACTACATGAGCAGAACAAAAATTTGGGACTCTTTTTAGCAAATTCAAAGAATGGAACCTCCGCCCCCCCCCCCCATTCTGGATCCACATCACTGTATAAACAGGGAGTATCATAATCACGTCTGATTAAGCAAAATAATATTGTGTTACCTTGCTTCTAAAATATTAATAGAAAAAAAAAGAAATAATGTACGAAATAGAAGGATTGACATATTTAAATTGTCTGCAATTCCACGAAACAAAGTCCTGAACTTGGATGAGTATATGTCAATTTCAAGTTCCTTACAATATTACGAGAGGTAGAGTCAGCACTGTTACATATTAATAATAGCCGCAATTTACATACGTATTATCAGCCATCGATCTATTTTACTTTTTAAAAAAATCTTCTGAAATAATTTTATGCAGGTGTAGAAATGTAAATTTTCATCTTGCTTCAAAAGCAAAAATCTTATTAATGATGCCGTGCTTAGTTTCGCACGGAGGCTATCGAAGTATGTACATATGTATACTGTAAATACTGATATTTTCATCAATATATATATTCAAACAATTATAATTCCATGTGGTAAAAATATAAAATACATAAATATGTCAGCGTATTGTTGTGTCTTAGAATTCAGTACGAGGGTTGTCCGTAAAATTCCTGGACAAGCTAAGAATTAAATAAAAGTTGCGTCATTGATATTTATTATAAGCATATTTTTAATCCTTTCCTAAATATGAATTGAAAAAATGTAAAACCTTATTTAATTTCAAATGTTTAATAACAATTAATGCTTCATAATTAAACTTGGAATGGAGACCCAGAGCACCGCAAAATTTTCATTAAAAAATTATTTATCACTTTATAAATTTCATTTGTATTTTATAAAATTCTGCGAAAATCTGGATGACTTTTACATTATGACGTTGACAGACGTTATCTCTTCAAACCTGCAAAATTTGAATGTTCAAAGTTGTAACATGACTGAGCAATCAAAGTTAGAACATATGAAGATGAATCGGTATTTTTCAAAAAAGGGACGTTTTTGTAATAGGTGGAGCAGTGAGCAGTGATAAAATTCTGCGTAGACATCGGATAAACATTTACAGAGATCAATACTTTTCGTAAACAATCGGGGAAACATAGTGAAAGAAGCAGTACATTAGTATTTAAGGATAAATAACACAAACAAACTTTTTTTCAGAAATCAGCATTATTTCTCATAGATTTGCATTTAAATTGACAACCTGAATAATGTTTACCAAGTAGAGTGGGAGAATTTTCTAAGATTTTGTCATAAAGTTAAAAAATTGTGCAAAATTTTGTATGGAATTATATAGAAGGCAAAATAAAATCTCAAATCTAAGCACCGGGGAAAACCTACGATTTCTTTATATTTCAGGGATTTATTATTTATGTCATTACAAATCAAAATCAGTCAAAAAATATCTACCAACCCGTGCATCCATTTTTTGTTTGTGGTAAGTATCCTTAAGTGGCATACAATATTTTTGTATGGAAGAAACAGTTCACAGGATGACATGCGTGAAGGAAAATCATCATTCCTAGATTGCAGTGCTGGTAAAAAATGAGTTTTGTGACGTGACTTTACCGTGTTTCGGTAAATAAAATTGTCTTTACGCGGACAGAGGTTGGATGATTGCAGGCCTAGGATATTCGACAGGCATTGTTAAATATTATACGTATGAAATCGGAGCATTTGTGCACAAATTTATGACTAGTTAAAGCGACATAAGAAATGTATTGAGTTAAACGGTGACTATGTTGAGAAAAATTACTTGTATTCGTATTATGCTTTTGATGTAGCGTAACGTCTTGAGTATTCTCATTTTAGTGCTCCGGGCATGAGTGTTTTTCTTTTTTAATCTGATAAAAATATAACTATTTGTGCATTGTTTTTGTTGAAAACTTGCATATTAATAAAATTAAACATGAATTAAATGAAAATAATATATTTTACCAATGTTTGTCATTAATTATCAATGTTGTCCACGAACTTTACGGACAACCCTCGTATTTTTAAAATATTTTCGCAACGCCCCCTTTGCTATAAATATTTAGGTTTTTCAAATATTTCATAAGCAATCTGTGCTACAGGTCGTTAGTTAGTTGGAGGTAGATGCAAGGGCAAATCTAGATAATTTATACTTACATGCACAATCGAAAAAAAAAATTTTTTACAAGTGAAAAACTGACGAAGTGAAATAAATCTATTCAATAGTGTTTCGGGGGTTGGGTGTTTTCATTCATAAATACTTGTTTTACTTGATTATTATGATCAAAAGGTAGGGTAATTTATTTTCTCACAACATATCACAACAGCTGGGGTGATCTTTTATCTTCTTATTGCTAAATATAACATAAATCTTTAACTGCATAACATATCGCTGGCCTTGATCTACACTTGAACAGAATTACATATATTCCAGTTTCCGCTCAAAATGGGTATCAAACATTATATATAAAATTACAGCTTTTATTTCATACATGGGGTGTCCAAGAATATCAGAATTATCTCGTGCATGTAAATTCGTTGCCTTGAAAGATCATAATTTTAAAATATGCTAGATTGGTATTTAGGATGTGTGATTTTCACAGTTTTCTCTCTATCCCCGAGATGACAGCGATTTGATAGGAATTCGTCGAATTGGTAAATTATAAAGGTTACCTCCTTTTTCTGTATACCCGGTATTCATCCATGCGCGGATCTAAATGAACCGGGATTTGCAGAATTTTAAATACCAATACTAAACTAAGTAAAAGTGACCTTGGATCCCTCCTAAATGACACTGAAACCCTGGAATCTGAGTTTTTATAAAAAGTCATGGCTTTATATGTATGGGAAAACACAATCATCGTCGCAAACCACGACCAAAATGCCCATACTCTCCCATTCCTAGGAAAGAGCTGTTTGCGGACTCCAGACCGTGTCTTGAGACGATTGGGGAAACAATCCGAAACATGGGAAAGGAGTTTATGTGGGTTTATTTTGTTTATTGGGGGAGGGGGGAGGGGTTGTTGTTGTTGATTTGTTTTGTTTGTTTGCTTTTTTTTCCTGAGAGGAGATTTCTGAGTTGTATATTTTTCTGACTGGAAAACAATTCTGGATCCGCGCCTGTTCATCTTTTGGCGTATAAAGAGGTTTAAATAAAGCGGTTATAGATTTGGTAATTAATTTACAGTTTATCAAAACAAGTGCCGTCAATCGTCTTTGACTATGAATCTCGAATGAATTTCCAGTATGCATAGCAATGTACACTACCCTAGAGCATCTACCCAAGAAAGAACACTTGAGGATAAAAAACGTGTAAAGGTTCGTCGGCAAAATTATATCCTTCCATATGTACAGCAAGTTTGAGGGATAATTTTAAACAACATGTCCATACAATTACGTATGATAGGCAAAAAATACATGTATATACATGTACACATGGAAATGTAAATTACGCATGGCCCTTGTGTTTTGAATGATCACAAAAATAGCAACCGCTTAATAAAACAACCTTCTGTTGCATTTACTATAATTTCACCTTCCTCCCCGAAAAAGAAAAGATTGAACACTTAATTCTAATTTTTTTCGTGGCTTTATGGATTAATCAATATCGGGATACAGCTAATATTTATACCGTGAATAATTTCCCCCTATTTTCTCTTGATGTATCATTTTAAAAAGTTGCCTTTGATTTAACAGGACAATATATAACAGTATTTAGACACTTTTTAATCAAAGCAAAAACTAGCTAGCTACATGTATTATCTCATGATTCAAAACTTCTTAACAGTCCTATGATTAAATTATCCAAATTCTAAGGTAGGGTTTATTATAGCAGATCCTTCCAATAATGTAGATATAATTACTTTCATTTAAATAACGTTAACACCATACCTTACAATATATATGTGTATGAATAACGTCAAAAACATGTCGTTATACATGTACAATGTAGATTTTACTTGAAAACGATACCAATTTCAAACGACTATAAAAAACACTGGAAAAGATATCATTCAAAAATAAATTGTGCCATAACCCACAAAGTCTAAACTATCACAGAATAAAATTTTATTTTATTTTCATTTTGGTAACAGGGCATATTTTTGCACTTCGTGGCTTCAGCTCTTTATGAATTCCATTTTATTGAAAGATCAGCTGTCAATAAAATAAAAAAGCCTGGATTTTAATTTGTTGTTTGGAATTGTTGTGTATAAAGTTGAAAAGTCGTCAATTTTTAAGCTGTTGATTTTTGTAAAATTTTGTGATTTCAAATTATCCAAGAGTTTTTCAGAATCGTTCAGTATTAACATCTGATTCACACCACTTCTTGAATATATAGTTGCAGAGTACTCTTGAAGTTTTTCCTTCACCACTGTCAATGTCTTAGTGAGGAGTAAAGAGGGTTGGTTGAACATTTACTAGCCATGGAACCCGCAATGTATCTTTGTTTGTAAGGATTCTTATGAAGTTTCGAAATCCAATATATATAAGGTATTTCATTTTCATTTTGGCTCTGTGGAATATTAAAAGTATTCAAAACGGACACGTAATTTTGAAGAATTTCTTCCTTAGAAAGAGAAGTATGAATATAAGTAGGATTACCGCTTGTAAAATCAAATCCAAGTTCTTCTAGAATGCAATTTATATAATGAGCCTTACAAATGAAGACAATCTTGTTACCTGCTTTGTCGTCAGGAACCAGTACGTCTAGCAAGCTGGAATGGAGTATATTCTCGATCGAGGCTTGCTGAGCGAATACACACCATTTCAACGAGTTGAATAAAGGCAGTATCAAATCACACAATTATATATGTACTTTTTATTTTTTTTTACTTTGAAGTAATAATTTTCATTTGCATTAAAAGTGATGACGCATAATATATGACGTCGTACTGTTGATGTGGAATGGTGAAAAGAAGACTATCACCAGGTGAAAAATATTAGATCTTTGCTATCTGCGTCTTTTAAAACATATGTGACAATCAGTTAAAGGCTTTTTTTCGAACTAACATTAGACTGAAACTTGTATAGACCTAGGGATATTTTTTTTAATTCTAGGCCCCTATTCAACGTCATTCTTTGAAAGGTGAAAGTGAAAACGGTGAAAGGTTTCAGAATACTGTAACTTCGGATGCATGGTAAGTTACAAATACAGCTCAACAAACTTTTTAAGCTCACATGGTTTTCCGCACAAATTAAGTTCACATTGTTGTTATAAAAATTACCATTTTTGAACTGCAGAACAATGGCATAAACCTTCGTATATAACATATCTAATGTCGAGCATCAATGTCTTTTAAAATTTTAAAGAGAATTCATAAATAAATGGTAGGATGTTTCGACCATAGGATTCTACCATATGTTTTTACAAATTGTATAAAACGAGCTTTACTTGATCCCATGTAGTTGACTTTTTTACATTTTCTTCTTAAAGGTGAGAATTTTTAAAAAATATTTGCTCATTTATCATACTTCTCTTGGGTTCGTCGAAACGTAGCGCCGAAAAGGGATAATATTGCAGAAGGAAACCACACTAGAGGGTACGATAATGAAGTATTGTTTATTTTTTTTTTAAATAGTAAATTCCTCCTATGAAAACGAAAATTCTTCTGCATTTACGGTTTGAAACGTTAAAATTTTGCAGTGGGATGGAACTTTCATGATTCTAGATTTTAGAAGTTGACTCTTAAAAATCCTACCTTATTAACAAAGCAGGTCTTCAAACAGGTGAAATTTTCTATTACCAGCCCGAGTTAAAGAGTTAAAATGAACAGAAAATACAAGTTACAGTAGATGTACTGTACACATGTCTACGTTTCTGCCAAGAGCTATTGCTTTCAAAAGAACGGATTAAAAGACAGTTACAACTGGCAAGAAACTACAAAAATTCAAATGATAATTGTTGTTATTTTTCAGCCATGAATATATCAAAGTTCTACCAATTGATTTGTGTGAATTATGTTTTATTAAATGCAATTAAACTCAAATTATGTAAACAAATACTTTTAAAATGTGTTTTGTTGTCTCGATACACAATGTTATATCATAACAATGTGACCTTAATTTGTGCGAAAACCCATGTGAGCTCAAAAACTTTGTTGAGCTGTACGATACCTTAAGGCATAAATAATATTATGTAAGAAAGCATTGAATTTTGAACACGCTTAACTGCCAGCTCCTACATTTCTCTAAATTTAAAGTTTTGATAAAGAACTACGAACTCTAACTCTTGATTCCCGCACTCATTTTGCACCTATTAAATTCTATATCAATGGCAATTTGGCCATTAAATTTTTGTTTAATACAAAGAACAGTTCTATGGTAATTTTTTAATTATTTTAATTTTAGCACCAGAAAGTAAATTATCCTTAATTTCAGCTCTTGAAAAAAGGGGGAAGACGATATTTTCTAGTGAAATCGAACTTTCAAGAATCACCATATTTTTAAATAGTCTAAAATAGGATAAAATGTATCTCATCTCTTTCTTATGTTTTACGCAAATAAATAAAACATATATATTTTTTTTAAATACAGTTATTTAGTTGTAAATCGCTTTAAAATTGTTGAAAAAATCAGCATTTTTTTTCGTTTTTTCGTCTATAAACATATATTCCCCCATGAAACACAAAAAGCTTTCAATTGGCATATTCCTAATTCCATATCATCTGTAAAAAGGATTTTTGGTTTCACGGGGGGGGATGTTTAAAAATATTTTCCGTTTTCCGTTGATTTCTATAGTGAAAAACACAAGTTTTACTAAAATTATAGAGTTATCTCTCTTTGGTATCCCAAATAAGTAACGTTTTATGAAAATTCATGTAAATATCTATAAAAATGTTGAAAATCATTCGAATATGTAAACTTTGAGAAGGTAGGCGGGAGAACAATACTATCGTTCGTAGTTCTTTGAATCTTGAAGCGACGCGGAGGGATCATGTCAAAACCAGAAAGTACCTACACAAGGATAAAACATACGTTTATCTCATAAATACTTTCATGTACACGTATGAAAACTGCATTCTTAAAATTAAGAATCGAGAGGACAGCTTTTAATGCACGTGACGTTGCAGTCTTCTGTGTGATAAGACTTTTACATAAAAATACACTGTTTTCAAATTATTTTTGTCCTGAAGATGTTAAAATTGGAAATTTACCTTTTTTCTCACCACCTGGTACTGTCTCTTTCACACTTTTATCCGTAGGTGATTCTAAATAATAAGTAAAAGTGATAAGTAATAGATTAAGCTATGTATATGGTCAAAGATATTTCGCGGAAATTTGTCCAAGCATACTTAATATAAATGAAAAGCATGTAGTGACAATCTAGCTACCTGCGGATTAAACAGAAATTGAGATTCCGCGGAATTATGACACTGTGAAAAAAATACGTCTACACTATACATGTATGATTATCATTTCAAAGAAATTGAAATAAATTACAATTTGTTTATACATGTACATGAAATGTAATTTATGTATAAAGATCATTTATATACATAGACTGTTTACAAGACTCAAGAGCTAGAATGATCAAAATACATTTTTTGATGTAGAAGAGAATCACATGGTTATAAAGGGTTTTCTTTCACTTATCAAAAAAACTCTTTTCAAATAAGAATATAGAATTAATACTAAATAGGCTTATAAAAAAACCGCCTGGTGATAGGCTTCCAATTAAGTTTTCATGAAAATTTACATATATTAAGAACTTTATCGACAGGCAACGTGGCATCTAAATTGTAGGACAAACGAAATGGCCAGTTTTTCCAACTTTTTATCCTTATTTTGGTAGTTAAAATTTATTATCACTGCTTATGATGTTTGTCTCCCAATTTTTTTAAAATAATTATCCGTAATTTAAAAGCTTGCTTTGAGTTTGATCAACTTTTAAATGTAAATCGAGGCATACTACCCTCTGATAACTTGATGTAACAGGAATTTTACCAAACGCTTTATAAAGTCGGCATTTCGTAAATTTTATGTTCGTTATAATGCCATTGTTAGGAAATATAACTAATTATTAAGTTGTATTTTGGCTTCTTTTATACCAATTGTTAGCCCTTTGTCTTGATACTGAATTGTCAAAAAAAAATCCATCAACCTGATTAATAAATGTGATTCGATTAACAAGGGACACTTAATCCTTCAAGGCACCTGATCCTACCTTTGAAATTTCCAAGGGATCTAGGTTTCCTTTTTATATATTTGTACTGGTTAGAGATTTGATAAATTCATTCATTGTTCATTATTTCTATCTTTTACATTATTGTATTCGCAATTTTCTTTAAATTCTTTGGGGTTCTACTGCCTATTCTCAGGCCTTAATGATTCATTATGTATATTATTATTTATAACTGTTGACGATGATTATATACGAGTACATGTATGTATCCTAAAGAATATAATTATACTGCTTTGCTAAACATTTATCTTACATATACATACCTTGCTTCTTTTCTTCGGATTGTTCATTTTTAGCCTGTTTTGCATGTGATTCTATAAATAGAAATTAATAAATTGGTCACAACAACAAACAGTCAGTTAGCTTAGCTTTATAGATATGTCATCTCTAAAAATGTGACACATCTCTTAGAAATTTTTAGCATTCTTTAAGTGAATCCGTTTTCCTTTGGGATTTTTTTTCTTTTTACGATTATTTTGATTTGGATGGTTTTTATTGAAACTTGAGTACGCAGCACAGTTAAGATTACCAAAAAAAAGGAACGGAGCCTAATTTGTACGGGTAACTTTGACATCATACAAAACACACAATTCTTACAGATACCACAAAATGACGTATTAGCTTTATATTGGAAATACCCAACTGTTTTTTCCGCATTATTACTATTTTTTCTCACAATACTGTGGTTTTAAATTTAATCATTTTAGTCACTTATAAAATAAATAAATTACCAAACAAGGAGCTAAATTCACGAACCATAAAAAATTGCCTCATCCCTAAAAATATTTAATTAACTTTCATGTTTACCTTGTTTGCTTTCTGGCTTCTCTGACAGAAGTTCTGGAAATGAATTTTTTAACAATTATTCTATGCACACATTATATCCTTTGAAGATGCAGCTAAAAGTATGATCATATGTACAAAACAAGATATCATCCAAAGTGCAGATAGAATAGTTTATAATAAATTTATAGCTTGAATATGCTTACTTGCATATTTCAAAAGGTGTAATGTTTATCTCGAGGCAAATTTGCATTTTTAGTTTCTTGCAATCTTTAAACATTCTTTCATTATTTTTATACTTTGTTTTGTGACCTCATATGTACCGTTAATCAGTGTGTCTGGATCTATTGTCAAGCCGCTTATTCCCTCTTGATTTATCTCTGAAATAAAATAAAACTGAGTGACATATAATAATCATAAGATTACATTTCTTTAAAACGCTACTTTGCCGAAAACGTACCAAGATTTCCAGCGTTTACGATGAAGCTATCCTTTCTGACATGGAATTCTACACCACGAGTTGATGTTATTTTTTCTATTTCTTCCTCTGTTCTTCCTTGTAGTCGATACAGTAGAGTCGTCTTCCCGACCCCATTCTCTCCAACTATGATAATTTGAGATATTGGGCAAACTTCTTCATATCCTTCCTGAATATGTCTCTTAAACCTTTTTTGAAACTCGTCGTCCTTAACTTAAATAAGCCAATTAATTAAAACGCAATATTAAGTGATACTCAGTATAGCAAAAACAATTCTTCAAAAGCTTTTAAAATTTCATTTTTGTGAATTCAAAACATACAACTGCTTGTTTACTAAGCAGTTTATAAAAAAGCGTAAACTGTTCCAACCCAGTTTATACCGTATAAAATGGGTAGCGATCAAATCCATTGCTTATAATTTAATTTTCATTCATTTGATGGAAGAAAAAGATGATTGTTCTAACAAAATGATTTCAATTTGTACAAAATTTAAATGTAACGTCAGGCGGATTGATACGTTTTTGACGCAAGTCATTGTGACGTAGGCAACCCATTTTATACGATATAAAGCAAATTTTTTCATCCAATCAAATACAGCGTTAAAACAAGAATTAAATAATTTTAATTTAAACTTACCTTTCTCCTTGAAGTCATCCCCTAAAGTTTTTGTTGTCCCAGGCTTATCTATAAATAAATGATTTTAAAACGTTTATTAATTTAGTAACTGGAGATTGGACATAAATAATGTTTTTTTAAAGAAGAGTCTTCAATAAAATGTATGTTACAAAAAGTTACTTTTTTCAATAAAGACTTTGGCATTGTGTATGATGATTTTTTTTAAATGTAAAGCTAATCGTTAAAAAGATAAAAGTCGGTTTTATATACAGCTGTATCTACATACATTTTGCATTGCATAGGCAGTATAGAACGTTAAGTAAGCAGGGTGTCTCAAAACATTTTATCTATACATGTATAAGTGAACAATTATCGAATGAGATAAAAAACAACATTCAATCAACCAAGCAATAGGTTTTCTGATCCCAATTTCTTATTTTATCCCTATTTTCCTTTTATTGATGTACCCAAACAATATTCATATTTTTTCCTGACTATTTCAAAACATAGGTAATCAGAGATTACAGATCTCACCTCAACGAATGCTGTCTTTCAGTAAGCCAGAGGCACACAATTAACAAACATTCTACAAGTTTACATCCCACGTTTGTGCAATTCTGATCTCATGGGGCTTGCAGTTACTTGGAAATAGACCTATCCAAAAACTTCTAACTAGTCGCCAATCGTTACTTGGAAATGAGAATTGCACCAAATCATTAATCTGTTCACTTATCCGAATTATTTAGGCCAGATACAGCATCCGAAGCAAGACTGGTAATATGCATCCTTAGATGTATCAAGTTTGGTCATCATACGAGAGACGTTCAATAAATAATGTCATTAACTCGATGACATACAACATAGAAATCATATGACATTAAGCTGGACTTTCTCTTATTATTGAATCTTAAATGAATTGATAACAGTTTATGTGACCACTTTTCATCACATAGTTTCATCGTGAGAAGCTGGGAAACAAGGGCTTTTCGAGACACTGCATTATAAATGAATGGTAAAGAATCAGAAAACTAGAGTGAAAATAAAAGCTTCATTAAAGCTGCTGTAAAACGTGTTAAAAATCCCAATTAAATTTTTACTGAAATATCTGACATTTACAGCAACCAATGCCTGTTTTATAGACAAATAAGCAAGTTGATTTCAATGATAAAAAATTATATAATGGGCATCAAAAATGGGTACCGTCCTTGTCAACAAAAATTATAACAACTTATGTACTATTTGCCCAATTTCAACAAATAATATTTGATGATGTATGACTGACTGAAGACACATAGCAAATTTGATATCAATCATATCGGGAGTAGTTTACAATATTTCTAAGAAGCTTTGACGGTAAAAAAGCTTGGTATTCAAATATCACCCTTTATTTTAAAAAAAATGAGTGAAAACGACAGCGTGTAGGAATGTCTTAACAATTATTTTGAATTATCAGTAATAGTTATCCACGTTTGTTACATATTCAAACAGATAATGGAACATGAATCTATTGCTTAAACACTAAATACAAAATTTCCAGTAAGATGTGCTTGATAAAAACAGCAATGGTCTGACAAGAGCAAAGGTATGCAAGAGCAAAAAGACAGATTAATATGCAATTTTCGTAAATATTAGTGGTACTATTGTTCAATTTTTGATTTCTAGAGGAGTCTAGAAAGCAATTTCATGCCCCAAAAAATCGAAAGACTTATAAGAGGAAGGAGCTATGATTCAGGAATTCACTACATTAAATTTCTTTTTTGACGGCGTCAAAACCCGTACCCCTGAAGAGTAAAGGGGTTTTCGGGATAAAAAGAAAGTTAATATTTTTTTTTTCACATAAAAAATATTCGCCAGATCTGTGACCTTTAGACTTGTTTCTATTTCCAAACTTGAAAAAAACACTTTTCAGAAAGAAGAAACAAGTCCAGGAAATCATTGGATTTGCCATTTTCCTGTATACTAAGGGTCATACCCAAAAAGGAGTTCTAAAAACAATTAGAAATGAGATAAAAAATTTCACGGACATCTTTTTTAATCAAAAGAAATTAATAAGTAAAATCATGAAGACTTATTCATTGAAAAGCGTCTTTTGCTTCTTTCCGAGCTCCAATGACATTATTTATTGAACGTCCCCGTATATATATAGTTACTTGGAAAGAAGACCTACATCATAAACTGCACCAAAAATTTTAACGTGCTCCAAAAAACATTTATCAGGTCATTCCTTCGCAGTATCTGAAACCCTCAACTGGTACAACTGAACAAACTAGAAGCGAAGCAATTAACTGTACATGTATGATCAATATAGTGCATAGAATGGCAGGTATCTGGCTTCAACTTTATCTAGGAAAATGTAATTTAATTTTACCTTTCTTCTTGACGTCATCCTCAAGAGTCCTTGTTGTCCCAAGCTTATCTGTATATAAACATGATTTGAAAATAAGCATATTTTGTAGTGTTCAACTTTAATTAGCTGAAAAATGTTATTGATGCATCGTTATTTCTCAATAAAGGGCCTTAAAAAGGCTCAGACACAGATTTGAAGTTAAACCTTTCTCAAATGTTCTGTATAATGTCTTGACTCATGTATTCCTATAGCATTTATACACGAAAATAAAAAACAAATTTCATTTGGAAACTTTTCACGGATTCCTTGACGCCCTTGGTTGACATATTCTTGCACTTTCACAAGTATGTTTCTATGCCCCTTAATATAAAATAATAAAGAATGAAATAAGCTACTTAGAAAAGACTCCCGCGCTGTGTATTCTGTTTTTCTTTGTTTCATAAGTCTACAGTGTATAGTAAAAAAAATAGATAAATCTTGGTTGTTTATACGTATCTATGTACGCTTTGCATGATACATTAACATCTCGATTATTTATTATTTTACTATATATTTTCCTTTCAATTTAATGCTCAACTAAAGTTTTGCCACTCTCATGCCTCTCTTTGAAAAACTTGTTAAATTCTTTTGAAAAATCTCATTGTATTTGCAAATGTTATCATATGTTTTCCTATTTTTTGCTTAAAGGTCATGATCTAGTGAACGGAAGACACCATCTGATTCACCATAGCTGAGAAATGGATTCCTTGTTTGACCTTTTATAACTATAGCCTGATAATCTAGGTTGTATACATTATTACAAGATTTACAAATTAATCGCCTACAAAGTACCAAGTATTTATAACCTAAAACAATGAAAAAAAATTCTAATCGGCTAATTTCATTTTTTTTAAATCCAGAAATCCAGTTTATCTTTTAGAAAACCATTTCCTTTTCATAGAAAGAAAATATTCAGATTGCCTTTGAACCCTGTCATCTATGTGAAAAAATCGAATTAAATATATTTATCAGGAATATCTTTAACACCACTAGAAATCTAATTCTAGGAAAAACAAACATTCATTTCTACATAATTTAACGGTGTACATTTAATATGACATCATGATGAATTGAACGCCAAAAAGAAAGCATAAAGTCATTTACTAGATCTTTACAGTAAGGTAATTAAGAACTCACGTTACCTAAATTTCCAGAATGTTCGTTCGTTGGGAGCAAATGTATTCCTTCCTCTGTTAACAAAGATCAGTAAAAAGTACAATTCATCAGTTTATACATTCGTTCACTATTTTTTTTTTACTTCCTCCGAACAGGAGATTAAAATTCAACATTACAACAAATATGAACACGCAAACGTATTTACAACATTATGAGGGAAACATCAATTAGATGAAAAACGTGTGAAAATATTTATGAATAACAATATAATAATAATTATAAAAATAATACTAAGGAAGTGAAAAAATGGTAAAGACCAGATAACATGGATTGCATTACCGTGTAGAAGTGGGCTGCTGCGTCCCTAATGAATTTAAAGTAAAGTACGTAAAGATCGGGGTTGTCGAAAGCGACGTTTCCAGTTGCAGAGATTCGGGATCTAAGAAAGAACAAGTAAAAATCTTGCTGGGAAAGTCCAGAAAGACATTAAAAACATAAGAACTGGACCCTTATAATTTGGAATAATTTCTTTTTCTTTTCTTTTCGTTCCAATACATGTCGGTCTTTTAAGACGATCTATAAATATATATCACGTTATTTATCGTTAATGCGAGTTTTTACGGTCCACAACATTTATGATTACTATGTATACTGTAAAACGAGAAAATTTGGCGCGAACGTATTTCTTCTTATTAAAATCATGCATGCATCTAAGGAAAGTTACTTGGATAATTGTTAAGTATAATCAGGTATTGTTTGCATGGTCGATCGCCATGCTTGATTGTATTGTTCACTTCAAGGCATTAAATGATTAATACGCCGAGAAGTCCAACGTTGAAGGTGTTAATGATATATCCCGTGTAACAACAAATAATATTTTATAAATATATAACTTGGCAGTACTAATATATAAATATATTATAGCAGTGCGAGTACAACAACCCTATGACATAACATGACTTGTACAGAATACGTTATAATGGTAATCGCCCGTGCCTGTTTACATGCACTGAAGTGCACGTAATTGCTTTGAAAAAAGATAAAAATTTAGTAATATGTTAGTGCAATATTTATTTTAGCGCTCAAGAGCACTTGCGCCAAAGACGCTAAGATTAGTAGTGCGCTATATTTTCTCGTTTTACCGTTTGTGATGTTAATTATTTAGTGTAATAAGGTCGAAAAAAGTTAACAGATTAGATTAAACCAGAAGATTATAAACAATAATTAAGATAATAAAAGATATACAAGAACAAAACAAACGAGGAGCAAACAAACACAGAACCCGATTTTTTTGTATTATGAATACATTATTAATACAGAAATAAAGCTGTTAATAACGGGGTAAAATCAGCACCAATCGAAATTCCAACAAACTGTTGGAAGTATTCATCTCCATATACTTCAGAGATATCGTGAATCAGAAACAGACCTTTTCTCAATATGAAATTTAAAGTTCTTGTGTGTGTGTGATCAGAATTTTTTCAATAACATAGTTTTGCAAATGACAATGTTTACTAAGTAAATTTACGAGTTCCATATCTTTTGAAGAAGCATAATGATAAACAATTCAGATTTAACCTAGATACTGTATCATGGAATAGAATAAACGTACATTTTTATGTTATTATTTTAATAATTTTTTTTCAAATTGGAATTTTCTAAATGTTCCTTGGAGTTCTTAAGTATGTATGTCTAATTTACATAGCATATCAAATATTCTGTTTTGCACTTCACTGCTGTTTCTATTTCAATGAGGAGTAAAAAAAAGTGGTGTTAAAGATAGTTTATCTGAACCTGCTATATACCTTTGAAGGATTTTTATTTAGTTTAGTAAACTATTAATGTACTGGTATGGTATAGTAGTTCAAAGAAAATCTAATTTTTGAGTATATTAAAACATTTAACAATAAAATGAAAATGAGATGTATTTTCCTGATATGCAATAGCAAATAAGTACTTCCATCAAACTTGCATCAGTATTAGTATTAACAACAAGAGGCCCACGGGCCTTATAGGTCACCTGAGTATCATGTAACAACTTTCCAGCGATTGTATTTGGTTCCTGTTTTAATCCAAAAGCCATGATATTCACAAATTTTGAAAGAGGCACCATTGCTTATCAAAGGGCAGATTTCAAAGCATTAATTTATTTTTAGTCAAAGTACCCCCCTGGTACCCCTGACCCAGCGGCCCTGAAATTATCTATTTTGAAAGAGGCCCCTTTCTTCATTATAAGGCCAGCATTTTTTATGCTTAGGTTTAGTTATGAACAAGAGAATAAACAAGAGGCCCAGGGGCCACAGCGCTCACCTGAGCACATTGGGTTTGAATTGAACCCCCCCCCCCCCCCCGGCGTTCATCATTTGAACAAACTAGAATTTACACTACCTGAGGATGATTCCATATAAATATTATTTATCATAGCTTTGAAGTACATAAAAAGATTTTAAAAGGTTTCCCTATATATCCCTATGTAAAAAGTGGTTTGGCCATATTGGCCCCACCCTAGGCCCTGGGGTCATGATTTGAACAAATTTGAATTTACACTACCTGAGGATGATCCACATTAGTTTCATCTTTCCTGGACAAGTGGTTCTGGAGAAGAAGATTTTTTAAGAATTTTCTTATATATTCCAATGTAAAACTTGGGTCGGCCATGTTGGCCCCACCCTTGCCCTGAGGATCATGATTTGAACAAAATTGAATCTACACTACCTGAGGATGCTTCCACATGAGTTTAGTGTCTTCTGGCCCAGCGGTTCTTGACAAGAATTTTTTTTTTTAAACGCCATTAATTTTTTGACAAATTCATGATAATCTCCCCTTGGAAGAGGGCATGGCCCTTCATTTGAACAAACTTGAATCCCCGTCACCAAAGGATACTTTGTGGCAAGTTTGGTTGAAATTGGCCCAGTGGTTCTTGAGAAGAAGATGAAAATGTGAAAAGTTTACGACGACAACAACGACAACGACAACGACGACAGACAACGGACAAATTTTGATCAGAAAAGCTCACTTGAGCCTTCGGCTCAGGTGAGCTAAAAAGTCCCGAAGGAGAAGGAAATAAAAAAAAATTTGATAAATCAATTATTAACATTTGTATCTTCTTTTTTTATGCTATCCGAATAGGCTCCTTAGTCCTTACCACTGGACACATAATGCTTACAAACAGAAAAGTAGAACATTTAATTGCTTATTTCATCATCTGCCAGTTTGGGCCAGTTATATAAATTTTGTGATGTTGATCAAAATATATTTTAAAACAAGATTTGTTTGTGAAACACTATGCGCCCGGCGTCAACAACGTTCGAAAAAGCTATTTTTAGTATATAGGTCACAGTCAAGTTCAAGATCACAAGGTCATTTACCTTGGTTTTGTTTGAAAGAGCTTAATTAGTGGAGTATGCGTACTAAATATGAAGTCCCCATCTCCTATGGTTCAAACGTTATGACAAAAAGTGGAAAAATCTTTTTTTAGCATATAGGTCACAGTCAAGATTACAAGGTCATTGACCTTGGTGTTGTTTGAAAGAACTTAATTAGTGGAGTATGCAAACTAAATATGAAGTCCCTATCTTTTATGGTTCAAAAGTTATGACAAACAGTTGAAAAAGCTATTTTTAGCATATAGGTCACAGTCAAGGTCACAAGGTCATTGACCTTGATGTCATTTGAAAGAACAACTTAATTAGTGGAATATTCATACCAAATATGAAGTCTCTATCTTTTATGATTCAAAAGTTTTGGCGAAGGTTAAAGTTGACAACAGACAGACAGACAAACAGACAAACAGATAAGCAGACAAACAGACGGGACAAAAACAATATACGCCCGGGATCTATCGATACGAGCGCATAAAAATCAATTCTTTAAAAGTCTTTCAATATATCTTCATTTTTCTAATATGTGTTAGGTGAATGTGTAGACATTGTTCTAAAATTTACTTGATGCCTAAAATTATAATTCCTATCATAAAACAGACAGGGAGTATTGGGGAGTAGGGTGAACATTTTTTCAATTAAGTGTGAAATAATTTTTCTGGATGATAAAAATGATACTACATGCCTGTATGGCAATAAAATGAGTGACTCAGGTGACCTAAAAATTGTTTGGATCAGCATCAACTAGAAGAGGGTATAATAACTTAACTAAAACTAACAAGGTCATTGTGGAGTATGCATACCAAATATGAGGTCTCCATCTTTCATGGTTCAAAAGTTAAAGCGAAGGTTAAAGTTTGCAGAAAAAGCTATTTTTAACATAAAGGTCAAGTTAAGGTCACAAGGTCATTGACATTCATGTCATTTGACAGCCCTTAATTAGTGCGCAGCTAGGTTAAGGCTGCCCATGGGAAATAAGCCTTAAAATATTCCGAAAAAATCAATATAATGTTAATTTTTTTTTTAAACATGAGTTTTCATTTAATGGGAACTTTTCTAATGCATATGTATGTATGGGATCTCAACCGAAATTGGCCAAAGCGACTTAACGTACTTCAGCTGTTTGTCACGTGACAAATTTAAAATTAGAAAAAAATATGTACGGATACAAAGATCGTAAAAGTTTAACGATACATGGATACTTTTTCACTATGAAATTGATTTTGATTGATTTTGTTTTCTTTAAGACAAATTTATTAACTCGAAAAGAGCTGGGAGCAACTTCTCCCTGCTCAGGAATTATATAAAAGCCGACTTTTGATAAACTACATGTATGTGCATTTACACTATACGCATTGAAGGAATGTAAAACTACGGAAAAATATAACAGCACTTTTCAAATAGTAGGGACAGTAGCTACATGTGTATAAAATATTATATTTTATAATGAAGCGGATATCGTTGAACTTTTGAGATTTTGGAGGGGTTGTACATGTGATTGTAGTACGTTTCTGTATAAAAGTGCATGACTGCGGCTTTATAAGAGACCTAATGGTTATCAATTAAGTAACGCTGTAAACTATTGATTAATGCATTCAAAAATATGAATCAATTATAGTCAGATCATGCTTATTTAGATTTAATTGTCATATTTTCAATTCCACTAATAGCTTTATCTGCGTCTCAAGTACAGAGAAACTGCGTGTCAAATTAGCCTTTGACGTCATATCTGTTAGTACAGGAAGATCAAGTTGGCTTTGACTTTACTTTCGAATAGTGTTATAATGACAAGATAAGTTACACATTGATTAATATTTACAATAATCATGAGAAATCAAAGTATATAAGAGTATATGAAAAAGAAAATAATTATTTATTCGCCGAGATTCATTTGTACAAGTTCACCGAGACGTCATAATCGAATTCCCGAGGCTCTGCATACACTGATCTACCTTTGGGTAGCCCTTAACCTAGTTGCGTGAAGTATGCATACCAAATACGAAGTCTTTATCTTTCATGATTCAAAAGTTATGGTGAAGGTTTAAGTTCGAGACAAACAAACAAACAAACACACATACAGACATGAAAAAAACAATATACGCCCTAGATCTATTTATCCTGGCGCATTATAACATTCTGTCTCAATGATTATTTTAAATCGTGTTGAGAAATAAAATAAAACGAAAAATATCACCTTCCGATCCGACCTGTGTTGGGTTGCCTTTTCTGTTGCATATTAAATATATCGAAAACACTATTGCTGCTAACAATGCTAAAACTAGAAGAGGCAAAAACACTTGTAAAAAGATATCCTGCGAAGTTGTTGAATCCATATCAAATGTGGAATTTCCGTCTTGTATATTCGTAACAGGTTGCCTGAAAAAAAGATTTAATATCATCCACCTACAAGTATTATTGTAGGTATTTTAAACCTTTCTCATCATTAAGATTTTCCTATCTAATCTGACTAGAAGAGAAATAGACAATTTAAATTGGTTCTAGAAAAAAAATCATTTAAAATTGTGAGCTTTTTTTTTGATTTTGTGTTTTATTAGGCGTTTTCCCATTATCACTTCAGCTTTTTCTAAAGATTAAGAAACTTTCCTCATATGGTGGGGCTAAGTATTTTGTATCTGTTAAAATTATGTAAGTTTATGTTATGCATATGATTAAAGTTGAGAAATATTTGTATTTGGCACTGAAAATTATCGTCGACAAATTTCAAATTTTATCATCATGCCATTTCAAACTGCAACTCTTTAACATTGGAAGTAAAAACTATAGCTAAAAGATCTAGTTTTAAATTTCCTGTCAAATTCGAATAAAGGAAGGAAGAAAGTATTTATATACATGTAGGACTCCAAAGTGCGATGGGACTCCAAAGTCCGATGGTTTGCGCCAATCCCCGATGGTCTCACCGTCTGACACGCCAAAGTCAGATGGAGTGGAGAAACAATTAACGTTTATGATGTCATAGTGCTAATGCGCCAAACTTCAAAGCCACACCATGCCAAGGTTTTCAATAAGTATTTACATTCATCATTATGCAAAAATTAATCTTTATCTCTCGGTTAGTTGCAAAACTAACCACAATCGGTAGAAAAGAGAGTAGACCTAACAGCTACATGGATATCTAGATCAGTGGTTGGTGCGAAACTAACTCGAATAACTTGACTAGTGTGTGAGCACTAACTCCATATCAAAGCAATTTAAAAGGACTGACCCAAAGCAGTCGAGTTGTGTGCGAGGATTAATATATCTGAAACATGTAAGGAATACGCAAAATAAATTAAAACGTATGCAAGGATAAATTCGTAAATGATGGTATTTGAATGCATGAAAAGGGCGTCACGGATTGACGTCAAATTGTTGTGAGGTCATAAACGTCGATTGTTCCTCTGAACCATTGGAATTTGGCGTGTCAGACCATCGCACTTTAGCTCAACGTGTCTCGTAGGAAACGAGCCATCGGACATTGGCGTGGCGATTGGACTTTGGCGTCCTTGATAACAACAAACCATCGGGGTTCGGCGCAGACCATCGGGGTTTGGCGTCACCATCACACTTTGAAGTCTTACATATATTTTATGAGTAAATTATACAATATAAAAGAAATATTTTGTATAAAAAAGGAAAATTTGAATTTTGTTCATATACATGTAATTCTAATTTATTCAGGCTAGGAAAATGTCGTTATTTTCAATTTTTAGCTCCGGGGGCTCAAGCGAGCTTTTCTAATCACATTTTGTCCGGCGTCCGTCCTTCTAGCTGTCTCTCCGTCCGTCTGTCTGTAAACTTTTCACATTTTCGACTTCTTCTCAAGAACCGCTGGGCCAATGTCAACCTTACTTGCCACAAAGCATCCTTGGGTAAAGGGGGTTCAAGTTTGTTCAAATGAAGGACCATGCCCAAATTCAAGGGGAGATAATTGGGAATTAAAGAAAATTTGGTGGTATGTTAAAAAAAATCTTCTCAAGAACCAATGTGCCAGGAAAGATGAAACTTATGAGGAAACATCCTCAGGTAATGTAAATTCTAGTATGTTCAAAACATAACCCCCGGGGGATTGATTGATTGATTGATTGATTGTTTACTGTTTAACGTCCCTCTCCAGAATATTTCACTGATATGGAGACGTCACCATTGCCGGTGAAGGGTTGCAAATTTGGGCCTATGCTCGGCACTTATTGCCTTTGAGCAGTGAGGGATCTTTGTCGTGCCACACCTGCTGTGACACGGGGCCTCGGTTTATACAGTCTCATCCGAAGGACCGCCCCATTTAGTCGCCTCTTACGACAAGCAAGGGAGTACTGAGGACCTATTCTTACCCGGATCCTCACGGGCCGGGGGAAGAGTGGGGCCACAATGGCCGACCAAAGTTTTACATAGAAATATTTAGGAATATTCTTTGAAAATCTTCTTCTCAAGAAAAACAAAGCCATGCTTGATCATATTTATATGGAAGTATCCTCAGGTAGTGTAGATTCAATTTTGTGCAAATCCTGACCTCCGGGGTTTGGCGGGGCCACAATGGCCGACCAAAATTTTACATAGAAATATATTGGAAAATTCTTTTAAAATCTTTTCTCAAAAATAACAAAGCCATGATTGATTATATTAATATGGAAGCATCCTCAAGTAATGTAGATTCAAGTTTGTTCAAATCATGATCCCAGGGGGTTGGGCGGGGCAACAATGGCCAACCAAAGTTTTACATAGAAATATATAGGAAAATTCTTTTAAAATCTACTTCTCAAGAATAACAAAGCCATGATTGATTATATTTACATGGAAGCATCCAGGGGAAGGACAGGGCCAAAATGGCCGACCAAAGTTTTACACAGAAATATATAGGATAATTCTTTAAAAATCTTCTTCTCAAGAATAACAAAGCCATAATTTATCATACATGTATTTATATGGAATCATCCTCAAGTAGTGTTGATTCAAGTTTATTAAAATCACAACCCCCATTGGGGTAGGGCTGGGCCACAATATTTTAGCTTAGTAATATATTATGACCTTGTAACATCTTAGAACCCTATTGGAAGTAAGCAAGTTTTATATATGCTTTCATGAACATTAATTAAAAATATGTTTATTTGGTGTGAAAAGACCTGGTTCTGAGATCATTATATATCTGTGATAATGATAACTGTGATAATCATATAACTGTAATAGCTATGTGAACTTTTTTAAAACTATCCCAAATTGATATCATGATTTAATTTAATTGAATTATGAATGTAATGTTTTGATTCCTTGCCTGAATTACCATAATAATATTTTAAAAAACAAGAGGCCTAGGGGCCACATCGCTCACCTGAGCAAATCGGATAGAAAGCAAAAATCAGATCAGATCCGAAAAGTTTACTGAAAGGGGGGGTTGAATTTTATTTCTACTTGAGAATGCCTTCGTATTAATAGAGCATAATTAAAAAAAACAACATTTTTCCTATATACAACTTCCTAATTATTTGAATTTGATTCCTCATTGTTTCATTCCCTACCCCTTGAGAGCCAGGATTTGAATAAATTTATATCTTCAATACATGAGGATGCTTACAACATGTCAATATGACTAAACATAGCTTTTCTGTTCTTGGGATTTTTCTATGTAAAATTTTCATCCACCATTGGGGCCCCATCCTACACTTGGGGGTTATGATTTAAACAAAGAAGATGTTGCAGAAACTCGTGATTATTCCCTATATATCGAGATTGACATTTAAATACCCTCGTCGTATCTAAATATAGATACAGCTAGATAGAGGAATATGTAATTTCAGTGCACTACCATTACTTTAGGAAACAAATAAGAAAAAAAAATTACAAAAATGATCCACTCCAGGATTCGAACCCATTTTCTGGTTAAAGTACCATTTGGAAACCAAATAGCATATCCACTAGACCATTTCGGTCGATAATTTTTCTGCGTTATTTAATGTACACATTTTGCAATTCGTTTGGAGAATAATTTTATTCAATTTTTGCGTTTTTCAAAAATGTGCCTCTTTGAAACAAAAATTGGAAATGGCAGTTTTGAAGAAAATTCCGGCCTCTGTGCATATATCAAAATTATTTTGTTTCAAGGAGGTACTTTTCGAAACAATGGGGATTCCCTATTCAAAAAACGGAAAGTCTTAAATATTTTGCCGTGAAACTAATTTTTACATCATTTAATGGCAAAAGTCAATACGCAGCTTTCAAATTTTTTTTTCATTGTGCTGTATTTATTGATGCATTCGAAAAAAATTAATATGAGTTTCTGCAACATAAAGATTTCTCTTTTAATCTGCTACACATTTAGGATAAATAACAAAAGAACTGCAACACCCTCTTTAATTCTAAACTACCCGAAAATGCTTCCATAAAAATACTAGTTGACTAATCACGGCTTTGCTATTCTTGAGAAGAAGATTTTTAAATTTATCTTAATGTAGAACTTGGATTCCCCATTGCGGCCCCACCCTATCCCTATCCCTGTTCAGGGGGTTATGATTTGAACACGCTAGAATCTACACCACATGAGGACGACTTCACATATGAGCTTCATCTTTCCTAGCCAAGTGGTTCTTGTGAAGAAGATTTTAAAGATTTTCCCTATTTACTCCTATGTAAAACTTTGATCGGCCATTGTGGCCCCACCCTATTCCTTGGGGTCATGATTTGAACAAACTTGACTCTACTCTACATGAGGATGATTAGACACAGTTTCTTCTTTCCTGGCCAAGTTGTTCTTTAGAAGAAGGTTTTTGAGAATTTCCCTATTTACTCCAATGTAAGACTTTGATCGGTCATCGTGGCCCCAACCTACCCCTTGGGATCATGATTTGAACAAACTTTAATCTATACTACCTGAGGATGATTTCACATGAGTTTTATCTTTGCTATCCCTGAGGATCTTCAGAAGAAGATTTTTAAAGATTGTTCCTATATATTTCTATGTAAATCTTTGATCGGCCATTGTGGCCCAACCCTACACCCAGGGGTCATGATTTGAACAAATGTGAATCTAAACTACATGAGGATAATACCACATGAGTTTCATTTTTTCTGGCCCAGGGGTTCTTGAGAAAAAGATTTTTACAGATTTTCCCTATATACTTCTATGTAAAACTTTGATCGGCCATTGTGGCCCCACCCTATCCCCGGGGGTCATGTTTGAACAAACTTGAATCAACACTACATGAGGATGATCTCTCATGAGTTTCATCTTTTCTAACCTAGTGGTTCTTGAGAAGATTTTTTAAAAGATTTTCCCTCTATACTCCTATGTAAAATTTTGATCGGCCACTGTTCTCTCACAATACCATCAGGGGTCATGATTTGGGAAAAAAATGAATATACACTGCCTAAGAATGATTCCACATGAGTTTCATCTTTGTTGGCGCAGTGGTTCTTAAGAACACGATTTTTTTAAATGCCATTAATTTTCTACTAATTCATAATTATCTCGCCTTGGAAGAGGATGTGACCCTTCATTTGAGCAAACTTTAATTCCATTCAACAAAGGAAACTTTGTGGCAAGTTTGGTAAAAATTGGCCCAGTGGTTCTTGAGAAGAAGATGACAATGTGTTTAAAAAAAAGAAAAAGTTTACGACGATGACGACGACAGACAACGAACAAATTTTGATCAGAAAGCTCACTTGAGCTTTCGGCTCAGGTGAGCTAAAAAGGTCAGATGCATACTGTAGATTGGCAAATATTCACGATGGTTTTAATTTCGCTATGTTCGCGATTTATTAATTTTCCGCGAAATTAAACCCATCGTGAATGTTATTATTAGTTTTCAATAATGTTAAATTGCTTATAGAAAATTTTGAATAAATTTCTTGTGGCGTGAAATTAAAACCCTCGTATATTGTACTTTTTGAGATATCGTGAAATTTTAACACCGTGGAATTAAAACAATTTACAGCATATATTACCTAGTGGACATTTGACAATTTGCATCCTCAAGATAACATTTGTGATATCTGTTAATCCGTGTACAGGCTGGAACTTTTAAAGATAAGATAAATATTTTAAAAATCGCACCATAACAATCATATAAGAAACATCATAATATTTTTTGCATATAATTTAATAGGATTCACAATTAACTCTTCAAAAAATATTTTCATTGATTGCGAAAACTTTACGTAATGAAAGATTCTGATTAAAATTCCAAAGTATATCAATATAAGTAAAAAAAATTTTAAAAAAACTTATTGGGTCGTCTGCAGAGCAGTGATCATGTAGGGAAAACTTTTTCCCTATGATTTTCTGTCTGCCCACCTTTCCGCATGTCACACTCATTATCTCGGGAACCGTAAGAGGTATGACTTTGATAGATTGCTTGGCAATATGACTTATGTAAATTACTATGATTACCGTCATTGCAACCCCAGACTTTGATCAACTTTTCGAAATGTTTCACAGTACGTTTACATTCGCCAATTTCCATTTCTTTTTAAGAAAAAATATTGTGTTCTTTGAATTTGCTCCGTTTATAATTCACCAACTTGTGAAAAGGGCGAAAGGGGTCAAAATAAAATGAGGGTAATGTATAAAGTAGGGATGCATCTTTCAAAATTGTGAATCTCATTGCCCTAGGGTAAGGGGTTCTAGTGCAAGGGCGAGGATATATAGATTATACCAGGTATCGTGAAAATACATATATTTTTTTAAAATTCTTCTTTTCGGTGCCTTGGTATTAAACCAATGAAATATGTAGTACATAGTTATGAGGAGGAAGAATGCGTCCTTGAGATTTGTGAATTTCAAGGCCCCTGGGTCAGGGACTCTTTTGATAGGGCAGGGCTCTCATGTTTAAACGAGGGGTGATCAAAAAGTTCGCGAACTAATTAAATAACTTCCATAAAAGAAACAATATTTGGTTTCAATGTTAATTATATTTTAAATTAATCCTTTCCAATTTTATAGCATATCAACCACCGTTCTGAGCATGCGCAAATCACGTGATATTGGCGGTCATGTGACCCCTTCCGTAGCGTCTTGTCACAAAAGTTGAAAGATTTTTCTCAGTTTTATATTTCTTTCCATGTAAGTTAATTTTTATGACAAGAACAGTTCCTTTGTCAGAAATGGTCAAATCTCAGCAACAGAATGGGCATATAAGAATTTGATATCTTTTCCAAAACTAAGCATGAAGGCAATTAAAACACAAATCTTCTGTCTCGGGAGAGACTTCTATTCAAGGTGGATAGAGAGTGGTGCCTCCTTTTTATCATATCTAAATGTTTAAAATCTAAAGTAAACAATATCTTAGTCATTTAATAATTATATCAGTGTTCAAATATTAAAATATTTTTGAATCTAATCTGGATGGTGATTTTGTAGATATAGAGATAGTTCGCGAACTTGTTGATCACCCCTCGTATAATGCAAGTGTATGTTATTGAATTTTTTGAAAATCAAAATTCAGCTCAATATCTACAAGCGTTTAAAAAATTTTAAGAAATGAAGAATACCAAGTAGGACAGACTGACAGACGGACGGACGGACGCAGAGGAAACCTAAAAGACCCTCCGGGTTCTTAATTTTATCTACAGAAAAGGGATCAAAACGGGAAACTACCAAACGTTAGTAAATGAATAGTATAAAAAATTAAAAATGTTAATATGATAAAACATTAGGTGTCTGTCATTTGCCGTTTTCGTCCGAGTTGCAGCGACAGTACCAGTTGACGGTAAGAAGGTGAGTAGATCATTACCTAAATTATTCATACACTATTGATGTTTTGTTATGATTTTTTATCATTCAGGGTTGCTATGGAGACTTCATGTAAGGTATAGGGAACAAAGTTTGCTTGAAAAATTTATACAAAAAGTCATACATACACTTATACATTTCTTCTGAAGGATATGAAACATTTGGACATCCTTTTATAAACTCAGAACATGGACGAGATTTGAGACCATTTCCATCCAACACCATGCAAACTCCTAAAAAATTGAATACAAAGGAGTACAATTGTAAAAAATTAAAAATTCTTAGATATAGTTTGTTTCCATTTACATGCAATGAAGAAAACAGGTTAAGGCATTCCGAATTTGGATATGATCAGTTAGCAGTCGTAGGTTGAAAATATAATTTTCTATCGAAGGCTTACCAGATTGTATTAACCCACTTTGATCGAGGCAAAACTCTACAAGATGACTAAAATCCCAGATTGGCACACAGTGGTACTCGTTTTTGCTGACAAAAACACCATAAGAACAGTTGAGTCTCTGTGAGGCATCCTGTACGGCTGTTTTGTTTCCAGGACAGTTTTCCACAGAATTAAAGGCCAGACTAGAATTGGGCAAGACCATCTGTTTAAAAGCAATGCATTAACAATTGTAACTATATGATTTTACTAAGTGATATATAAATGAAATACTGAGTATAACTCCTTTAAAACATATGTCAGAAATCTGGAAAAAAATGCAACAAAATTGTGATTAAATATATGTTTAACTCTATTAAGCTTTTGTTAACGAGGTGTGCTCCTTCAGATATTTAAATAATTTCAGATAAAGTTTTAGTTTTTACAATGAATTTGCATTCTATCATCCTAATCAAACTATATCTCATGATTAAATTCCATACCAAATACATTTAGTGAGGGACTATGTTCTCAATGTGGCAGAAGGTTTATTAAGAAGGAAAAGAATTAGTTTTGCCTCTCTAAAAGTATTTTGTATTGTAAAATTTGAATTACTACTTTTGGTGCTGTGAAATGTTTTATGCTGGTCAGTCATTGAATTCCATCAACATCTTTGGCAATTAATATTAAGTCCTTGAAAAAAAAACTTAATTTTAGCTTTAAATTAGCATATTTTAGTAACATCTAAACATTCATAATACATATCTCCATTTTTTAAAAATTATTTTCTGAATATAAAAGATAATTTTAATCACTCTGCTAATTTTCAGAAAATTGACATCACTTTCCAATGCTTTTATGCCTTTTGAAATTTCAACACTAGGAAAATAACAATTTTTAAGTGCAGAAAGATCATATAATTGACTTTGTGAAGTAATTTGAAATTATTTTTGTTGGTAAAAATTTCAATGTGACCATTTAAGGGGGGACCTATGTCCGAAAAGTCTTTGCGTTAAATTTTCAAAACTTTGCTATTTCTTTCCTGACCACTTGCTCTTAATTTTAAGGTATTTAAAACGATACCTTTATATGCTTATTTTTACACAGAAGCACGTGTAAAAACAGTGTGAAATGCTAAAAATAGATCGCTGTTGCATTAGAAGGGTTAGGGTTAACCCTAACCCTAACCCTGTTGCATTAGAAGTACATGTATTTAATATTTTGATTCTTAATTATAAAAACTTACGGACTGGTGCTCGATTGTCCATATCGAGAGTAAAATCCCAAACATCCAAAATTTATCCAAAGTAATTGAAGTCATACTCTGTTGTGACTCGATCCTCAGTAGATTAAAAAATAGAAACCAGACCTTGCCATCTGTAGCACTTCTTCCTAATAATAAAAATGAAGAATATATGTATGAGCCAAATGTCATTTTCATTATCCTTTCTCAGTTTCCCTAGCAATTATATTTCATTTGAAATCACAAACTTTGAAACTTTGACCTTGAACTTTGAGTTTGACCTACTTTTAAATATTTTAACTTTGGCTATAACTTTGGAAGAGTAAGGGCTAGGATTCATCATACTTCACATATGTAATCCTTGAAACAATACATCTTTCTTATGAAACCAACAATTTTGACCCTTTGACCTTGGAGTTTGAAGTACCTTTAAAGAACTTATTCTTGACCATAACTTTTGAAATGGTGGTGATAGCACTTTCATATTTTCACAATTGTAATTCTTGTAAAAAGACCTTACTTTGGATATCAGTACATATCAATTTGCATTTATGGGGACATCAGTGTTTCACAAACACATCTTGTTCTTAAATTAGAGCATTGCGAAAAGGTTTAATGTTCTATAATTTAAAAGAAGAAAAAACTTTGAAATAAATACAATTACACTGTACATACAATTTTTTCCAATGAAGTCAATAAAGATATTTTTACCTAGTATGCTAAATAATGTTAGAAAAATAATTTTTTTTTTTGCAGGGATTCACCATAATATTTGAGAAAAACAGCATTCAAAAATTCATTGACAATTGCAAAAGTGTCAGAATACATCTAGTCATTTTGTATGTCTTAAGTTATATCTTGGGATAAAACAAAGATGGTTCTAAGACAGTTCGTAAGGTAGACATATTGAGAAACAGGGTATGGTTTTTAAGAGTGGGAAATATTTGACAACTTACCATACTTATCAAAAATCCATAGACAACAAATTTAAAAAGAACATTGTCCAAACTGTTAAGAACTATTTGGTGATTGGGGACCAGGCGGTTAGATTTCATTTTTTTTTTTGGCAACCAAGTTTTGTTGCAATACTCATTGCCACTCTATGGCAGTATGCCATGATTTAACTACACATGTATCACAACAATTGAGGAAGCAGGAATTAAACAATAATTTTTTTCATGGAAATAAGACATACGTGAAAAAATTTATATATTTGCATTTACAAATTTCACGTTTCAAAATACCTACATAGCAAATCAGTTTTATATGGTTACGGCACTGACAAAAAGGGGTATTTTTAAATAAGCTTTAGTGGATTGTTTAAACTAGTAATTTACGGCTTTTTTTATACAGTTTTGGTATATTATACCCGCAAAAAGCGCATGCTGGTTAAGAATTAATATTTATTTCATAGTTTTCATCGTTATCTGCTACTGATCAATTTAGCCTTAGATTTCCTATTATTATGACTATATATGGCTTTGCTATTCTTGAAAAGTTGATTTTTAAAGATTTTTCCTACATATGTCTGTATTTGCATATCCACTGCTCTCTCCCACTATGAACATGTAGCCATCAACTGCGTTCATAGGACTATAGACGCAACTGCTTCTGCTATGAGTGCATTTGCTCTATCTCACTCGTGTAGAACAAGCTCTACTAGACTAATACACCGTATATATATGAAATGATTCGTAAAAGGACTAAAAAGTTTTTAATAATATTTTTTGGAAAAAAAAGGAATTCAGAACAATTTAAAATTGCTTTTTGATATCTTTAAAAATTTAATTTTGGTCAATGTATTTAATTATAATATGAAACTTTAAAAATTGAACAGAACTCCAAATTTTTATTTTTTTCGTATCATGCATATTTTTACACAGAACGATAACTCTTCACACTTGGGTAATAACATTCAGAAAGAGAAAATTTCTTTAACTAGAAGATCTATATCTATTTCAAGAAAAAATAAATAGAAAAAGTACCCAAAAAAAATCACAGAAAAGCATACTGGAGTAATAATCATTAGAAAAGCATTCTCATTTTTATCAGTGTTCAATTATTGATTTTTTTCATAGGATTTCAATAACGTTGATCGATGACGTCACGACTGCATCAAAACAAAAATTAAGAGAATGTGATGAAGGCGCTGCTTTATCCAGATAACTGTGAAAAGGAAAAAAAATTAAAATTTGACATTTTTCTTCAATTTTTTGAAAATTTTATTATACGATTAAAAATAGTGACCAAAATTAAATTTTGAAAGATATAAATCAGCAATTTAAAATTATTATGATTATTTTCCATAATAATATTATTAACTAGAGCCGAGCTCGTTGCAAAGCAACGAGTAGGTCTTCCGTCCAGTTTGACCGAAAGTAACTTTCATTTGAAAAAAATAGAGTAATGAAGTTGAAAAATGGTTTAATCCTCCAAATCTATGTTCATTTTTGCAAAATCAAGCCATTTTGGCAATTTCCGGTTTGACCGGAAGTACCGTCAACGGACAGAAAATTAAGATTTATGCTTCCAGTGACATATGATATCCAAAAACCTGTCAAGAACAACAAAAATATGCAATTTTTGACTACTTCCGGTTTGACCGGAGGTGACGTCCCCGGACGTATTTTGACAATCTCATTAGATAAAGCTTGACATTTTGAACTGCTTTGCTTATTTGACGTATTATAAATTCTCAATACTTTTTGAGATATTAAAGAAAAACTTTCAAGGGCCCTAGATCCCTAATTTTAGGGGCCAGGCCCTTTTTAATGATATCAAATGAAAACGCTTGTAATTATGCACAACTTTTATTCAACATGTCTTAATAAAATATTTTTAGTTTTCAAGATAAAAAGGAAAATATCTGTAAATTTTCGCTCTTTTAGGTGTTCTAATTTTTTATCCCTATATAGCGCTATTTTGAATGCAGAAATCGAAAAACAAAAACCGATGTGCACAACTTCAATCCTTCTGTTATCTAAAACAAGTAAAATTTCTGCTCCAGCTTTTGTGGTCTCTGAGCCTTTATCCGGAAACGAAAGCCTATGATTTTTCGTTTAAAGGGGAATAACTCAAAACCGGAAGTGAATTTTTGAAATTTTAGTCATCATTCTGATAGAGTTTATAAACGTCTATAACCTCTGAAAATTTCAGCGAAATCCGTGGAGAAATGAGTGAGATATGAAGCCTCAAAGTTGGCGTCTAGGAAGTAGAAGAAAAAAAAAAAGAATAACTACAGCAAAGCTCGTTGCAAAGCAACGAGTAGGTCTTCCGTCATGTTTGACCGGAAGTGTCTTTCATTTCTAACAAAAATGAGAAATAACGTCAAAAAATGGTTTGATTCCTCTAAATCCATGTAAATTATTGCAAAAATAAGCCATTTTCTGTTACTTCCGGTTTGACCGGAAGTGACAACGTCGGACGGAAAATTATTTTTCAAAGTCCCAGAGGCATATGTTACCAAAAAACTTGCCAAGAACGGCAAATATAAGCGTTTTCCGATTACTTCCGGTTTGACCGGAAGTGACGATGCCGGATGTATTTTGACGACTTTAATTATCTAAGCTTGACATTCTGAACAACTTTGCTTCTTTGACGTACCACAAATTCTCAATACTTTTCGAGATATAAAGGAAAACCTTTTGGCCCTTTCAGGCCCCTGATTTAAGGGGCCAGCCCTATTTTCGAGATGCCATTTGAAAGATCTTGAAATTATACACCTTTTTTGTTCTACATGCTTAAACAAAATATTTCTAAGTAAAAAGTTATCGTTGAAAAGGTGTTTAAAATTTTGAAATTCTTGATAGGACTATTTTTGGGCCATACGCAGTACAGTTAAGGTGCGCAATGGAAATATCGGCTAAATTTTGTATTTAAAAATGTATTCGTAATCGGGATGGCGATTATTTTTAGTACATTATTTATATCGGATAATTGTAATTATGATTAATAACTACATATCGAGGACGATTATATTTTATATTTAGACTAGTCACGTGATGCGGCAGTCACGCGATATTAGCACATTGACTTGAAGTATTGATGTTACATATAAATATCACTAGTGCAAGGGCATAACCGATTTAAATTTCCAAGTTTAGTATATAATTATTTTCAATACACATTGTAGTTTCTAAAAAGTGCTGCGATCCTGTCTAAATTCTGCAATTTCATTGTTAAAATTATACTTGTATGACCGAATTCTATATTTTTTGCTGGTCAGCGGCATGAAATATTGATATAATTAAATTATTTTTAAGATTTCATCAGGATGGCAGCACTTTTCAGATACCTTAATAGTTCTATAGTTGAAATGTAAAAGCTTACTTTGATCCACAGAGTGTATGCCCTTGCACTAGATCGATTTATTAAGACCCCCCACATTACCTCCGATGTACTTGCATACAAATACACGGCAGTGTCAATTAAATACGTAATGTACAGAAAATATATTAATGAAATAGTAAAGAAGACATTAAATTCAAGTTATTGGCCCATAGAATATCTGTAAAAAATATTTTATTTAATTAGAGAATACATATTTTGTTCAGAAAATATTACTTGATCTGTCTCTCACTGCATACAAACTACGTCACGTTGTAAGAAATGACGTCATATTGACAAGTGTATTGCGATCAGTGACTTGTTTATAACTTGCTATGTGGGATTTAACTAACGACAAAACAACACGCTGTAGTAAGTTTTTATGTAGTTTGATGATTTCTTACTGGTTAAATTAGTAGATAAACTCATTTTGTGGTATTTTAAAGAAATGTTGTATGACGTATATTGAGAATGATGTCATAGTCAAGTTTTCCCGTACAAATTAGGCTCCGCCTCCTTTTTGTAACCTTAACTGTGCTGCGTAGCGAGCGTCGGCGCTTCGTACTTCCGGTAGTTGTGATATACTTAGTGCACTTCTCCAAAGGTTGCTCTAAGCATCACTGAAAATTTCAAGCTTCTGTGTTAAGTACTTTTTGAGAAAACTGCCGGACAAAGTGACCTTCTAAAAATCACTAAATCGCAGAAAACTCCGAACCGGAAGTGACGTCATCAAAATAAAAATTATATATCTAGATTTTTTTATGTTCTATCGGACCTGAAAGTTTCATGAAAATCGATCGAGCTGTTCTCGAGAAATCGCGCGTACAAAATCGGTAAGAAAAAAAAACAAAAATAATAAAAACTAGAGCAAAGCTCGTTGCAAAGCAACGAGTAGGTCTTCCTTCCGGTTTTGACCGGAAGTGACTTCAACACCAGAAAGCAATGAGATAAGTCGTCTACAGTGACTTTATTATTTCAATTTTGCATCAAAACCTTCAAAATAAGCTATTTTTGGCTACTTCCGGTTTGACCGGAAGTGACGTCGACGGGCGGAAAATTAATTTTTATGCTCCTAGATGCATATTTTATCCAAAATCGTGTCAACAACGGCAAAAATAAGCGTTTAAAGACTACTTCCGGTTTGGCCGGAAGTGACGACGGCGGACGTATTTTGACGACGCCAAAAGATTAATCTTGAAATTTTGAACAACTTTGCTTCTTTGACGTATTACAAATTCTCAATACTTTTTGAGATATAAAGGAAACTCGCTCGGCCCCTATAGGCCCCTCATTTTAGGGGCCAGCCCTTTTTTGGATATACCAGTTGAAAGAACTTGTAATTCTACACTCCTTTTGTTCTACATGTCTTAACAAAATATTTCTAGGTAAAAAGTTATCGTAGAAAAGGTGTTAAAAATTTTGAAATTCTTGATAGGTCTATTTTCGGGCCATAGCGAGCGTCGGCGCCTCGTACTTCCGGTAGTTGTGATATACAAAAGGCACTTCTCCAAAGGTTGCTCTAGCATCCCTGAAAATTTCACGCTTCTATCTTCAATGGTTTTTGAGAACATTGCCGGACAAAGTGACCCTCTAAAAATGACAAAATCGCAGAAATCTCCAAACCGGAAGTGACGTCATCAAAACAAAAAAATATATATCTAGATTTTTTTATCTTCTATCAATCCTGAAAGTTTCATGAAAATCGATTAAGCCGTTTTCGAGAACTCGCGTGCACAAAATATGTAAGAAAAAAAATAATAAAAACTGTGGAAAAGAAACCTAAGAATAACA